TTGGTGTCTGAGTAAAGTATTTTGTAACCTGGGGTTTTAAATGCAAATAAGCTGCTTCTCCCCGCTCACTATTTCCACGTGTGGATAAACTGCAGTCATTGATAGAAACACAGATGAAGCTGTTAGTCAAAAATACCTAGTAAGTTTATTTCATGTATTTGTGGTGGTTTATTCAAGCCTTTCCGAAATTATGATTCTCACACAAATACTGTTTGCAGTACACACACACATTTTAGCGTTTACTGACACCACACGGCTGTGGTGATTATACCGGTTAAGAATTACATAACGGTTTTTGTAGTTATTACAAAACCTGCTCTTTTTTTAAAAATGTTTTAAACTTATAAAAATCACAGAGAGTTGGAACAGATATTTTAATCTCAGTTTATTTGCAAAAAAAAAAATGTTCTTTGGACAACATGTATACTTATTATTATAGAAACAAGGCACCTGTCAGTCAATTCGGTGAGTTGGCAAAACTGCACTCCTACATCATGTTGCCTCAAAATCACTGGGATTTGGGTCCTATTTTTACATCAGGACATTTAAAAAAAGACACTGGTTGTGTTTTTATCACTCCAATATGACTGTGGACACACTATACGTACAGACAGTTCTGTCCAAACAGCTTACAAAAGTAGATTTTCATCATAGGTGCCCTGTAAATTTTTCTGTGATGGTTGAGGGATAGTCATATGGTTTGGCAATAAAAAATGTAATTAAGTGTGTGTATTTGTGTGGTATACTTGCCCTCGAGCGTGCATGTGTGTGTGTGTGTGTGTGCGTGTGTGTACTGTATGTGTGAGTGGGTGTCTGTGTTTGTGTGTTTGTGTATTTTTGACTGTGTTTGAGTGTGTATCTGTGTGTTTGAGTGTATGCATGTATAATTTTGGGTGGGTGTCTGTCTGTGTATATTTAAGTGTATATGTTTGAGTGAGTGAGTAAGTGAGTGTGTGTGTGCGCACATACTGTATGTGTGTGTCTTTAAGTGTGTGATTGCGCGTTTGAGTGTACTGTATGTGTGTATATGTTTGAGTGGGTGGCTGTCTGTTTGTGTATATATTGAGTTTGTGTATGTTTGAGTGTGTGTGTGTGTGTGTGTGTGTGTGTGTGTGTGTGTGTGTGTGTGTGTGTGTGTGTGTGTGTGTTTGTGTGTGTGTGTGTGTGTGTGTGTGTGCATTTGTGTTTGTATCTTATAATTTTTACCTATATTATTAACATTTTGCAGACATCAAAGTTATCAAAAGTCAGCATCAGTCTTTAATTTTATTAACACTGATTTATTTACAGTACATTGTGGGAACCTCAAAATTATACAAATTTGGGGACATAAGTTTTAAGTTGTTCTTTAAGTTTTTGATAAATTGTAAATGAATATATGAGTGTGTTTTAGTCAAAAATGGCATTTTTTGTGTCAGCAAGTGGTCACAGTAAGGGAAATAAATAGTAAAAACTGTACACAAACAAAGCTTTTCTGTAAACTAGTGATGACATTTTCCTTTAGATATTTTTTAATTGATTTATTAAATGATTTTTTTTTTGTTGCATAAAATACAAAAAAAGGCTTTAGTTTATATTCATTTTAGACAACACAATGCTAGTGTTTTAACCTCAGAACAGTTAAGAAATCAGTACCTATGAAAATATAATATAATACAATATAGTAACAATAATATTTGTTATTCTTAATAATTAGAAGATCTCTAATTGACTAAATTTTTTTTTAGAAATTTGAACCTAAAGTTATCAGAAATTCATAGATAAAGCACACACTGTAAACACACACACAAACACACACACACATACAGACACATATATTTATCTGTGTGTGAAGATACTTTTAGTTCAATATATATATATATATATATATATATATCCTCATGGCCACATGAAACTTGTATGCTCACAACATAAACATGTACCTGCAAAAAAAGTCGACCTATACATCTTTAATGCTAGATCAAGGATGTTGACGCCCGTTTCCAGCACAAACCAATAGGAGCATTGATCTGAGAAGCAACATAGAAGCCTGTCTGCCGTTTCACTCAGCAACAGAGCCCTCAAAACAGTCCTTTACACTTAAGAGACCCTGCGATTACCCCTGTCTTTCAGTCTTCTCTTTCTTGTCTGACACATTAACGTTGAACATGGAATTAACCAGTAACCATTTTCACCTAGTAAAACATCCAAACCCTTTATTTCCCTGGGCCCCTTGAATCTCCTGTCTATATAGGGAAGCTTTTTTTTTTTTTTTAATATCTACGCATGCCGCATACAAAAAGAATTCAAGAGCGCCGCCTTTGAGAGAAAGTGGATGAAAGAAGGCGGCTAAAAAAAATGTTTGAGCATGAAAAGCAAAGCATGCATATTGGGAGGGCTCCAAAAAAGGGCCAGCCAAGAAAGAAATTAAAGTACAGCGATTATCTGGACCCAGAATTAGAAGCAGAGGGTTTTGGACTAATAAACATTTGAAACGCACCCCAGGGCCCTCACCATCATTTATTACTCCACCATCTCCCATTAATGTGTGATTTTTTTTTTTTTCCACTCGGTTTCTTCATTTTTTTCTTCTTCATTGATTTCCAGGATGTTTTAGGTAGGTTTTATTAATTCTTGCTGGCAGGGTTTAATGAAAGGTTGTTGCTTATTTTCCCCTCCCTCACTTCCTTTTTCCAATCCCTTCCGCTTTGGATGTACTGTTTCGGTGTTTTATTTCATTCTTCTAATGACTGTTGTTGTTATCTGTGACTCTCGGCGTATCACAGGCTGACAAAGAGTGGTTATCAATTAACTGAAAGCACCTCCTCCTCCTCACGAGTGTTCTGTTCTGACCTCTTAGCTTCTCTTAAGCACGTGAACATCCAAAACAAACCAGACCTGCCATGGTTTCTCTCAAACAAAAAGATTAGCATACTGTACATCTGCACAGACTTTTTTTTTTTTTGCATCAATAATGAAGCACTGAGATCTGAAAAGACAAAAAAGCACTTGTTGTTGCTTTTATATTCTTGGACACATTTGAAAACAATCAAACACAATTAGTCCAAAACATGATTATTTTATGGAAATCAGTAACAGTCTTGTTGAAAACAGAAAAAGTGTTTTATTTATCTAAAACTGCGCTTGCTGGACATTTATGACAACATTTTCACACATTTTTACCGATTTGTTTATTTTATTTGTTTGTTAGATTTTCTTAGTTGTATGCTTTTGTTCATCAAGTACAGAATTTACCTCCTAATGTTGCTAGTTAACACATTTAATGCAATTTTCTACACATCCCATAATTTCACAAATATCAGCCTCTACCAAATGGTTATGTTGGTTTATGGTAAAAAAAATACTATAACAATAATTAATACATATACTATGAAAAATCTAAAAATATGAAGTGTAAGACCAATTTATTTATATAATCAAAATAAAACATTTTTGAATATAAAATCATCTTTGTATTATTTTATATCATTATTTTTTGAAGCATGCCATAAAATATTTTAGATTCTCATTTAACACGTTTTCTTTTTTTTTTTTCACAATAACATCAAAATCAAGTGAAGTAGTGCTACAGGATTGGTAAAAAAATAGAAAGATTGCTTTTTTTTTTTTTGGTAGTTTTTTTTTTTTTTTTTTTTGTAAACCAACAATGCTGTGTGTGTAAACTGTTATTTAAAACAGCCATATGATCAACTATTTGGTAGAGCAGGCAGTTAAAAGGTTCGATTGACTGTAAATGCGTTTGAAATATTACAGATTTGTAACTACTTAAAATAAATGCTGCTCTTCGAAACATCCCATTTATAAAAGAATTCTTAAAAAAAGTCCACAAAGTTAACCACCAAAACTGTTTGCATTCTTAGTAATGCGTTTTTCTTGACCACCAAATATGCATAGAAAAATAAGTTAATCACAGAAATTATTAGCATTTTTATCATCATTTTTTTTAATTATGATGTTTAACAGTATTACTGTATTTACTGTATCAAATGCTTTATAAACTTGACATTTTCATTGAAAAAAAATCTTTAAACTAAGTATGTCCATATACATTCACAATACAATTTAATAGATGGCAAAGAAACAAGCAAATACATGAATTAATTGTATGAGTAAGCTATAGTGCTCAGCATAGAGTACACCCCATTAAATTGAAAACGAATATTTTTCTCCATTTCTCAGTGAATATAGGTAATGTATTATGGTGCATTTTAACAAAACACCAAACATTAAGAAATTGAAAGATATTCAAGCAAAATATTGCAAAAAAAAAAAAAAAAAAAAAAACTACAAAATTTCAACAAAATTTTCACTTTTTTTTTTTGCTTCTGTTGATTTTTCCTTATTTTTAAAATATTTTTCTCTAACATATAATTTTAGGTGGACTAGTTATCATAAGTTATTTTGAAGAAAAGCTATATTTGGCTTCAATACTGACTAATCTAATGTATATGCACTAATATAACATTGAATAGCTTGCTGTTAAAATTTGAATTTAAAAGATAGATTTGTGAGGGGTGTATTTACGTATGCTAAGCAATGTACAATGAACATACTACTCTATCAAATGTATGATGAACTTGACTTTTTCATTGAAAAAATTCTTTGATCAGTAATATGTTCATATACATTCACAGTATAATTTATAGATGGTAAAGAAACAAGCAAATACATAAATTAATAGTTTGAGAAAAAAATGTGTCCAAAATAGAGAGAAATGTGTGTGTTCACAAAATTAATTAATTAGACCAAACAAACAAGCAAGAAAAAAAGTGTGTTAAAATCATTCCAAATCTCAATGAATGACACACGCAAGCTGAAGGAAACTCTCTCACACTGTCCCCTGAAAGACGGTATCTCCCAACAGTCCAGAAGGTGTAAAGGATTTCTGAATCCTGGGAAGATTGTGTACAGCCTTGTGCTGTGTGACCGCTAGTTTACACTTTTTTTTAAAAGGAATTCTTTCTGTCTCTCTTTTCCAATCCCCTCCTCTCACTCTCCAGGTAGACAACAGTAAGCTCACATTTGGGCAGAGCCTGTGGCGAGCGAGCGCTCCGATTGGTTGCCGCCTTGTGTTTCACCGCGTCATGCGGGCAGGATGGATGTGAAAGAACGCAGGCCCTACTGCTCATTGACTAAGAGCAGGAGAGAGAAAGAGCGCCGCTACACGGGCTCATCGGGCGACAGCGAGGACTGTCGCGTGCCCACCCAGAAGTCCTACAGCTCCAGCGAGACGCTCAAGGCCTTCGACCACGACTCCTCACGTCTGCTTTACGGAGGCCACGTCAAAGAGATGGTCCACCGAGAGGCAGACGAGTATAGCCGCCAAGGTGAGTCGCCCATGACTTCACCCCGTCCACAGGTCACATGACACAAACTGGAAATAACATGTGCCTAAAAACACGTCAAGAATGCGCTCTTGGACGGATCGCACTCAGCTAATAATATATGGGATGCACAACCATAATTACACATAATTAGAGGAAATTAAGTTTGGTTTGGCACAACCGAGTGCTTTCTTTGAGAAAACATTTACTTACTTTTGATTGAAAAATGAAGCAGATTCAAAAACAAATTAGACAGATTTATGGACCCCAAATTTGCTCGGCTACTTGTCTAGTCGACAGAGCGAAGAATGAAGAAATAAGGCATTTCCTTAAGATTAGCAAAACCAAAACCCCCTCATCCCAGCCTCTCATTTTCACATCCTAAGTTTCCCTTAGAACATATGCCCATGTGTCCCATCGGCAGTAATGAATGGTACCATAAAAAACATAAACAGCATTATTGCACTGCTCTGAAGTTTGCAGTGTGCCCTGCCCGGCCACAGTTTTATTACTAATTATGAGCACAGAGGGTCCGCTAGCATTCGCACAGACGCTATTTTAGAAACTCCCTCACATTCATTGAGTTGCTTTCTTTTTGTTTCTTGTGCAAGGCTTCATCAATATATGCACCAGGAAAGGTGAGCACAAATGTAGATTTGGGTCACTTTTTTTTTTCCTCCATAGGTGTTGTGATGGTCTGTGTTGCTGTAGAGGTTAACGGCGAGTGTTTGTGTGCCCTTAACGCAAGTGTTGTGTTAAGCTGAAGGTCAGCCTAGCTGTTATCAGTCACTGGAGTGCTAGAGGCTCTGTCTGTTGAGTGTGTTTATTTTAGAAAGCACAGGAAGTGACACCAGATTACAGCAGGGGGTAAAGGAGCAGCCTGCCTCCAACCATTATGCAGGATAGCCCACTCTATCACAGAGAGAAGGAGAGAGAGAGAGATGTAGTGCAGACACCGTTGAGCTCTTGAGAGACTGCACTCCGGCCTCAACACGGTCTTCAACACTCTGCCATAATCACCCCGCCACAGACGTTGCCTAACCCAGTCTCAAGCCCTAACCTTGGCACGCAACAGCGTTCGTCATGAAACTAATTCCTCCCGAGTGATATATTTTTAGCCTTTAGACCACTGCAAAAAATAAGCTGTACCCAGATAATTAATTTGTGGCATAGAAAGGACCAGGCAGGCGAACTGAAATTGTTAATTAGCCATTACACAACAATGGCAGATTGGAATTACTGAGATCTGAAATAATGCGGCCTCGCTGGGAAGTGCCGCTGCTCGGTTCTATTACAAAGTTCCATAAAGGTCATTACCAGTTCATTGATTGCTTTCAAACTCAAATTAACACTTCATAAATATTTGAGCAGAAAAGCCGTAATTGCTCAATTATCTTATCCTGTACAATTTCATCTACACTAATTGGTGTTCATTTGGAATTTATATGATTTTAATTGAACTTCGGTGGAACCCCGATTATTTCTGTAGTTAATAGCCCTTATTAATTCCTGTTAATGCAGGGGATCAATGGTTTTCTTTTCCATTTCTTTCCGTTTTTATCGTCATCCTAATAAAATGTGCAGTGATTGTTTTAACATGAAATTCTATAGCTTCAAATAATTGTAGCCACTTAAACGTCAAAACGTTATTAGCTTTCATTTTTATGAAATTTTATGTCTAAGACAAATTTTTATTTCAGAGTGCTTGCATGGTAGATGTAGTTTATTTAATTTAATCAAATTAATTTAATTGATTTAATTTAGTATCAAATAAAAATAAAAAAGGTGTTGTTTTTCTTTATCTTCTTAATATAACAAAATGCATTCAAAAACATTTCAGACATATTTTTAAAAACCTTCTGAACCACTAAAACTGATTAGGATCTGCCTGCAATAAACACCAATGATATTAAGCCCTATATATGATTCTCAGTAAATCTAAGGAAGTTATTTATTTTTTCCCCATTTTCTTCTGGCACTGCGGTTTTTTCGGGCCTCAGTATTTTTGGAGCCACACACACCTATCACCATGGCAGATAAGCTCCCTCCATGGAATGCAGTCTGCTCCACGGACTAATTCTACAGAATACAGAGTTTGGGAATCATTGGATCCAGACAAAAAGAACGGGAAATGAATTATAAGTCGTAGCGGCTGCTAAGTTGAAAGTCCTTTCACATTGTTCAACGTGAAGATTTTCAATTTTGGATTTAATGATCTGTAAAATAATTAGTATTAATACTAAATACTAATACTAAATGTTTTTATTTTGGTTGATTCAGTTTTGTTTAGAATTAGATTTTTTATTCATACATGTGTTTAAAGAAATTATCATTTTGCTTTCAATGTTTTTATGTTAATGTTGTTATTTAAAATTAAATTATTTTGCACATTTTAGCTTGGCAGTATGTTATTTTGTTCAATATTTATGGTCATTTATTGTTATTTTGCATTCAATTTCCATAAATATAGCAAGGATAAAAATATCCATGCTAATTTTTGCAGTTTCAATCGATTCTAAAATGTTTATTATTGCAGTCACTACATCAGTGTTATTATTATCAATTAAATTGATCTTATATTAGCATGCAGTACTTTATGTTTTGCCCTTCAATTACACAGAGTAATTTCATAACATAATTTCTAATATATATTTCAATATGACTCACCTTAAAGTTCTTAGTGTTGGTCATCTTGCCTTTGAAGTCAGATATTAACAGCCTGAAGACATGCTTGAAATCATCCAAATTTAAAGTGCTAAAAGTATTGGTCTGACTGCTAACACACTATTGCATTTTCTTGTCTCTTCCACGTTTCCCCTTGCAGTCTCTCTTTTTTTGTCTAAATTGACACCGACTCATAAACTTCAAGCTCAGTCATTTCACAGGAAAAGTAATTAGATTTTAATTGCAAAATTATCTAATGATGATTGGACAACTGAAGACCGCAGCTTGCTAGAAGTGATGCTTTTTTTCATTATCATTATGGCACCTATAAATGGTGCGAACTTCAGGTTTAGAATAAACAATATGACAGTTTTGATTACAGAAAATGCAATGCATATTGTGAGTCTGGCTGTGCCGGCTTGACACACATATAAATAATCCTTCATTCCAGTAGTGGTTTTCCTCTCAGTTTGAGACTTTGCACAGCCCAAGAGACTGCAGTCAGTTCATTAAAACATTTTTAAAGAGCGTGTAACTGGCTGTTTAGACGTGTTGCTGCGGTGTTCCCTCTCACGGCTAATTGCTGCCGTTTATCTGCATCCTTCCAAAATCCATGTAGAAGGTGCACAGAGAAAACATCATCAGTCTCACTGCGAAACAGATTTTTCAAGCTCATTTTCAAGCTCACTTAGCACAACTAGGGCTGCCAGGGAACATACGTGGTGCTACAGGATAATAATTAGTCAAGTGACTGCCCACCGTCCTCAGCAAAAATGCTTCAGTTTGTTTCTGTATTAAAACAATATATATTTATTTATATATATATATTTTTGTACCAGTCGGAGGATAATAGATCTTCTTATGAAAGTGCCTTACTTCTTCCAATTTAGATTTCTGTTGTACTTTATCATTTTGCTTTCTGTAAGTTGTTTGCTTGCTCACATTTTCCTCCAGACAAATCATGTGCAAATGTTTGGCTAGCATAAAGTAACATCATTTTTTGAAAACTGCTTGTACGTTGTTTTAGAGACAGCTCTGTTTACGTTTAACTGTAGCATGAGGATATTATAAAAATAAAACATTATGCTTTTCTGAAAAGCTGCTTTAAAACAATATGCATAAATTTGCCATTCATCTGTTCATTCATTTTATTAAATTTTGTTCTAGAAACTTGTTTATATTTTCATGTGTTTTTAATTAATCTGTTAGGATAAAACCCTGACTAAACTGTTTAGTTTGTCAGTCTGTGAGGGAATTATAGTATACAAGTCAGTCATTCTGGGGAGAGAATTTTAGATAAGTCAGGTCAGAATCAGTGTTTTTTAGGGAAATTGTGCAAAGTATATATTAATAACATGTCTTTCAAAATTGTAATGCCATATTTTAATTGAAAACTTTTTTTTAAATGTCAGAATAACAAATATGCATTGTTTTCGAGACAGTTTAATCAAAAATTTGATCTGTATTATTGACCGGCTCTATTTTGCTTAATTCAGCTACTGTATAGCATGAGCATGTTATAAATGTCAACATTATGATTTTCTAAAAAGCTGCTTTAAAACAATATGCATAAATTTGCCATAATTATTTGTTCTAGAAACAGGTTTATATTTCATGTGTTTTTAATTAATTTATTTGCATTAAATCCCAAATCAATCTTTCGTTTGTTAGTCATTGAGGGAATTATAGTAGTATACAGGTCAGTCATTCTGGAGGGAGAATTTTAGAGAAGTCCAGGTTAGAATCAAATCGTGCACTGAGTATTTTTTTTAGGGAAAATATACAATGTACATTACCGGCCAAAGGTTTGGGTCAGTATGATTTTTATATGTTTTAAAATAATCTTCTCCTGCTCAAAAAGGCTGCACTTATTTAATCAAAAATACATTGCAAATTGAAAAATTGTTAAATGTTATTGCATTATAGAAGAACTGTTTAAAAATAGTTTATAATTTAATCATTTATTTAAGTGATTTTAAAGATGAATTTTCAGCCTCATTATTCCAGTGTTCAGTAACATAATTCTTTAGAAATCACCTTAATATTAATTATAATTATTATAATTATTATTATTAATACTGTTATTAATATGTTATTATTAATGGTAAAAGCAATAATAACTGGAGTAATAATTTCATTTGAAACTACTGACAGTAAGTCATAAATAAATATTTAATAAATAAAGATTTAACAATTTATCTCTTTTTACATATATTAAATGCCACCTTGATGAACAGAATAATTTTATTAAAAACAATATATATTTTTTTTTTAAATTGTTTTTTACTTCTAATAAACTATTTTAATTAATAACTTTTTTATGTTAGAATAACAAATGTTTTCATATGTTGTGATTTTAATTCTGGGTTATTCCATTAAAGTTAAAAAGTAGAATTGCGTTGTCTTAGAATTATGAGAGCTCTAAAACATGGTACTTTTGTGTTATTTTATGCAAATAAATTTTTAAAATATTGTTTTGTTAGTTTTAAATTTGAAAGACACAGAGTATCATCAGTAGTTTACAGAATAAAAGGAAAAATTCTCCATTCCCCTAGTTAATTTATTTCACAAATAATTTGTTAGTACAGTTTATTTTATACTATGATATTTGTATAATTTTATATTTATATGTTGTATTATATTTTAAGCTAATTTATTTGTGTGATAAAAGTGACAGTAAAAAATGCCACCTAGTGTTTGTTTGCCAGATATTAATTTATTATATCACGAGGGAGCCAAGTATATCAATGCTTCAGGAGAGAGAAATTCTGGTATTCTGGTTTATATCTGTGGTTCCAAAAACCGATCAGGACTCACATTTGCAGTGCATTGCGGGTCTTCGGGGAACAGACTGCTAAGTCTGCGGATATTTGACTGTCTGATGAGACTTGATAGTCTCTTTGTTCCACACATGGGGTGTTAGCTTGCCTTTCCATGTAGTGTGTGTGTGTGCGTGTGTGTGTGTGTGTGTGTTTATCGAAGCTTTCCTTTCTGTCTGACTTTTGGGTCAGTTGATACAATCTCCCATGCCAAAAAAAAAAAAGGAACAAATAAGAAAAAAAAAGATAGATTGCGCTATCAATTTACAGCTTTATTTTTCTTTCCTCTTTCCCTTTCTTTGGAGCCGTGGATTTTTTTCAGAGCTCGACACTCCCCAAATGGCTCCCCAGATGCCAGCAAGGCCCATTTACCTGTCAGCTTGTGTTTTACCAACACTCTATGGGCTCTTCCCACCCCAAAGAACAGGCCAACAAAGAATACCTGAACTCCCACACGCACACACACATATGAGAAAGACTCTCACAATGAGAAGCACTTACCATGACGTCCAGCCTGCGAGTGATATTGAGCCCTCTTAGGCTTTTCTTAGTCCCTCCAGTAAGAAAAAAGCCTGACTGTTCTTGTGCTCATATAGTATATTTACAGTGGCCTGTGTGTGTTTTGGAATGGAGCTTCTAGTGTCCTGGGAATTACAGAATTCTCGTTTATTTGTCATTCTCTTGATACTAAAAGTGCACTTGGCAGACATAATCGCAGAAAACAGCAGTCAGACTTCAAAATAGAACATTAAATGAGTTCTTTTTAGTGTCTGTTTGATTGATTGTTTCCTCTGCTTAACTAGGGCATGTGGAACACGTCTTACTGTGTTTGAAATGCGTGCTGCATTGTGTGTGTGTGTGTGTGCGTGTGAACTGTGTTTAAGATTGCATTTTAGTATGATTATTTAGAGCTAATATATCAAAATATAATTCCACTGATTGATCAATATGAACATACTGAAGGTCAATGTAATGCACAAATGTTAATACATGTAATATATTTATATTTGGTGTATGATAGTCATGTTCATTCATTCATTCATTCATTTTCTTTTCAGCTTATTTCCTTTATTAATCAGGGGTCGCCACAGTGGAATGAACCACCAACTTATCCAGCAAATGTTTTACACAGTGGATGCCCTTTCAGCTGCAACTCACCACTGGGAAACACCCATACACACTCCTTTACGCACATACACTACTTGCTATTTAACTCACCCAATTCACCTATAGCACATGTCTTTGGACTGTAGGGGGAACCGGAGCACCCAGAGGAAACACACAAGAACATGCAAACTCCACACAGAATTGCTAACTGACCCAGCTGAGGCTCAAATCAGTAACCTTCTTGCTGTGAGGTGACAGCGCTACCCATTGTGCCACCGTGGCGCTTCGATAGTCATGTTGTTTTTTGTAATATTTTCAAACATTTGTGACTGGTATTATGGTTAACCTAAATTTATGAAAAAGCATTATTTTAAAATAATAATAATAATTAATGCATTTATTAATTCATTAACTCATTTATATTCCCAATTATTTTGTACTTGCATACCTTTAAGTTGATATTTTTTTTAATAACTGACAATAATTTTTTTTTTTCATTTTAATTGTGAATATGACAGGTCGTTTACTGTATCTCACTTCATATTAACTACATTCATTCATTCATTTTCTTTTTGGCTTAGTCCCTTTATTATTCATTCATTTTCTTGTCGGCTTAGTCCCTTTATTAATCCGGGGTCGCCACAGCGGAATGAATCGCCAACTTATCCAGCAAGTTTTTACGCAGCGGATGCCCTTCCAGCCGCAACCCATCTCTGGGCCTTTATTATTCAAATAGAATATATATATATATTCTATACTTTAACTTCTCCAGCATATGTTTTACGTAGCGGATACCCTTTCAGCTGCAATCCATCACTGGAAAACACCCATACACTCTCATTCACACACATAGACTATGGACAATTTAGTATACCTAATTCATCAATAGCACATGTCTTTGGACTATGGGGGAAACCGGACCACCTGAAGGAAACCCACAACAACACACAGAAACCCATGCAACCCACTGTGCCACCGCACCTTCCCAATAGTCATGTTGCATTTTGTAACCTTTGTGGCTGGCATTATGGTTAATCTTATTTTTATACATTTTAATAACAATAATAATAATAATAAAAACAATAATTATGATATTTAATGCATTTAATAATGCATTTAAAATTTCATTTTGCCAATTAGTTATGTACTTGCATAATTTTTAAGTTATTATTTTTCTTAATATGTCACACTATATTAACTATAATATTACATTTTTAAAAATAATTTTTCTATTTTAGTCTATTTTAAATTATTTTTGTGATGGCAAAACTGAATTTTCAGCATCATTTACTCCAGTCTGCTCAGTCTTTCTCAGAAATATGTGTACTGTGCTGATTTGGCACTGAAGAAATCAGAGTTGACAATCAGAGTGGAATACAGTTTTATTTCTTTAAAATTATTTTTGTGGAAACTACCATATGTCAGGGTTCCTTACTTATTATGCAGCTCAAACGGAAAGTATACTTTTGAAAAAGATATCCTATGCAATTGTCTTTTTTTATTTGTGATCAGTTCGTTTCATCAATTCTGAATAAAAGTATTAATGTCTTCAAACTATCAAACAGAATAGTATATTTACTTCTTACTCATTCACTTTGAAATACAAGCAAAATAACTTTTTTTTTTTCATTGAACTCCACATTAACAGCTCTATGTTTTATATTCTTACCAATGCAAATTTGTGTTCACATAATCAGATTGTTCCTTGTGTAGTAAACATGTGTCGTTATATTCTCAGTGTGTTCTCTCTTTCTTTTACAGGACAAAACTTCAACCTGAGGCAGCTGGGAATATGTGAACCAGCCACACGCCGTGGCTTGGCCTTCTGTGCAGAGATGGGCCTCCCCCACCGCGGCTACTCCGTTGGCGCAGGCTCAGACGTGGACACTGAGAATGAGGGGGTGATGTCACCGGAACGTGCCATGCGCCTCTGGGGCAGGGGTGTAAAGTCTGGCCGCAACTCCTGCTTGTCCAGCCGCTCGAACTCAGCCCTGACCCTGACTGACACCGAGCATGAGAACAAATCAGACAGTGAGAACGGTAAGTGGAGCCATGCTAGGGCCACATGCAGCCTTTTAGTCCAGATTCAGCCAGCTTGAACAGAATAAAAGCATTTTATTTCCTCTACCATGTTGGAAAATCCTGCTTAATCTGGATGCTTTTCAGTTGGTCTAAGAAGCAAAGGTGCAAGCTCACTGTAAGAAATGGTTGCATTAGAAACAGCCCGATTGGAAACTCAGTGCTGTGTAAATATTAGACAGGACACATGCTGGTTATTTCAACCAAGCTGATTGTGTAGGAAATGTTTTACCAAACATGCTGGGTTACTATATCTAACAGAAATATTCTTAATGAAGAGAAAAAAAAGAAAAAAACAACAACACCAATTGCACTCAAAATTGGTTGGAAATTTTAATGATCACAAAGAATTAATAGAACATTTAACATTTATTAATAAATGAGAGCAAATATAAAACAAAATTAGTTCGTTTATAATTATTTAAATACTCGTCAATAAATTATTCAAATATTATTCATAAACACTAAAAATGCTGGATTAGGTTAACCAGGGGTGGAAATCTTTAGGGACTTCACAATCTGATCACAATCTGATTCCAAAACGACTCTTACATTTTTTTTTCCTTTTTATTCTTCTGTTCATTTTCATTTTTACAACTTTTGCCATTTTCTATCAGAATTAGAGTTTATTTACTTTTGTTTAATAATTGGAATCTCTGTATGACAGCACTGTCATCTTAAAAAAGATTTTTATTTATTCATTTATTTTTATTAAAGCATTATTCAGGATGAACAAGCCTTGAATATAAAACAGTCAATTACAAAGAGCAATTATGAAAAACAAACATATTCCATAAAAATATATTTCGTTTCTTTTTTGTTTTTGGAAGCAGTTCATGATCAAATGCCCTGTTCGCACCTGCTGCCATGTTCCAAACCTTACAATGAATTTTCCAACTCAGATTCCCTATAAAAGAGAATATTTATAGCTTATGCACACATCCAGCCAATAACCCAGCACAAACACCAATAACTACCCAGCCATGGGAAAAATAACTCAACAGATTGAAGTAAGAGGCTTAATCCAGCAGGATGTGTAGGATTTAAAAACAAACTATTAACTATTTTTAGAGTGCCGCTAGACAAAAATATAACTCAGTATTTTTTACAGTGCTGCTAGATTACCTTAAACCCACTGCTTCTATTAAATCTTCAAATGTTAGGCAAGTTAAGTTGATGTTCAAGCTTAAATTGGCGACCATGTTTCAAAAATTAAGATGGATTTTTCATCACAGGATATAAAAGAAAAAAAAACTGATGCACACTTCTTTTGCACAACCATTTTCCGACTCTTTTGACTTTGTCCATCACTGGCCGGAGAGTCTATAGCTAGCAGAGTAAAGTCAATATATCTGCATGCTCTCTTTCTCTTTACGCCCATACCTCTGCTTCCGCCGGGGCCTGAGGGGACCCTCCAGTGGCCCAATCAAAGGTCTGCTTTTGTGTCAGGCGCTAGGAGACCTTACCTAGCCATCGCTGGAATGCTCCACTCGCATGAGCGAACACACACAATGGCTGGTTAACAGGCCCCAGCGGTTTGAAGTGCAAATTTGATCATGCTTGAAACCTGGAGAAGTGATGGGAGCGTCGATCTCCCTCCCTCTCTTCCTCTCTCTCTCTCTCTTTCTCTCTCTCTCTCTCTTTCTCTCTCTTTCTCGTTCTGTTTCTTTGGTGCTGTCGTTCATTCCCACAAAGCAGCTGTGATGGTTCAAAGAATGCTCAGGTGACAGGCTTCCTCTGGGCCTCAACGCCACACTTCCGCTGCCACTCTCCCAGAGCGGGACATTTCACCACGGCCTCACATACTTTTTTCATTAGAGTTTTATTCACACTTAAATCCCAGATTGCTTTCTTGTTGTTCTTTTCAGGTCCAATCGAGAATGAAATGGAGGACTGTTTTTCCCTCCACTTTTTTTTTTTCTTTCTTTCTTGAATTGAATTGAGAATTAAAGCTGCTGACGGTGAGCTAAAGGACAGGCATCTAAACGGAAATATGAGCGAAGAGCTGAATCGTTCATTTTCTTTCCTCCTTCACAAACTCTCCTGTCACTTATTCTCATTTATTAATATTCCTCGGACTAACAGGTGTTGTGTGTAAATAACCTTTAAGAAGACCTTATCTAATCACTTTCATTAACACCTTTTGGCTTAATTAAGGGAAGCAAAGCGCTGAGTGTGTAGGATTGTTATATTTGCTTCCATTATGAGATGAATGTGTGGGGTGACTCTCATATCTCTGATGACCAGAGCAATGAATGCACTCTTCCAACACGAGCATATTATATTTTCACTCTCCTTAATGAAGGTTTTTTTTTTTTTTTTTGTAAAGGAATCCCTGAGTTTATGTTTAGATCTCTGATGCATATCAAATGTAAAAAAAAGAAATAGTGTTTAAAGTTAGACAGTTAGATATAAAATACTCTAATCACAGAGCTCGTATTAAGAGTGGCTAGTACTAATTTCCACAAGGGCCTAGAAAGGAATTAAAAGGATTTAATATAAAACAAACAACCAACTTTTTGATTTCATTAGCATTTGATTTTCTATAAGATTTGAAGACTCCAGTGATTGACCTGAATTTATGTGGAAGCATCATTTTATTATTATTATTATTATTATTATTATTATTATTATTATTATTATTATTATTATTATTAATTCATTCATTCATTCATTCATTCATTCATTCATTTATTTTCTTTTTAGCTTATTATGCAAGGGTCACCACAGTGGAATGATCCGCCAACTCATTATTATTATTATTATTATTATTATTATTATTATTATTATTATTAATAGTTTTGCGGACAGTTAGTTTAGAATGTAATGCATTACAATATTGAGTTACTTCCCCAAAAAGTAAATAGTTGCCTTACTTAGTTACTTTTTTATGGTAAGTAGTAATGCATTCCGCTACTTTACTTTTGCGTTACTTTTTCTGACCTGAGGTTTGATCTCTTTCTGAACTTGCATGTTTTATTTTTCCTTCTTTTTTTATAGATGAGCTTTGCAATTAACAACACACTGTATAACCTTCATTTACCTTTAGAAAGAAAAACACGTAAAAAATAAATGTTGGAAATAGTTATACATGTCGTATATACAGATTAATGAAAGTTTAAAGCAATATGTATGCTACTTTTATACTTTTTGTCTTATAAAAAGGAAAATCACTGTTTATTCAGATAATCATCTTTACCTTTTTTTCCATGTGTTTAAAATAATGACATTATTTCCATGAAGAAATGTAAGGCTTTTCCATCTTCTTTTCTGTCTGTTCCTGCATTCTCTTATAGCATGCGGGATTCAACAAGACTACAATTATTTTAATTTAGCAATTATTTAAAAAAAATGAATGAATGATTGTGAATGATTTGCATTACATTTTTATAAGTAACTCAGATATTATTACTTAATTTTGAAAAGTAATGTGTTACTTTACTCGCTACTTAGAAAAGTAATATTATTATGTAACTTGCATTACTTGTAATGCATTACCCTCAACACTGATTATTATTATTACAATATAATATAGTCTATTTTATCCTCATTAAATATAATGATAAATGATTACAAAATTATATGATTTGAAATGTAAAGAAGTTTTTAATAGTAATAATTTGGTGACTTTTTTTTTATCCTCCACTGAGCTTCCTTTTTCTATAACTGCCTATAATGTTTAAAACCTTCTTTCTAAGCAGATCTCTACTTTTCAGAGCATTTGTTTTGAATTTATTTATTTATTTATTTGCTAACACGTAACATAAGTGTGTGTGGGTTTTTCCCTTAATTGTCTGATTGAATTGTGGCATATGTTGCAGTTGTCGTGGCTTTATTTCCTAACAAGAGACAGCTGCAGACAGTGTAAGTGAGTCCACTAGGAGAGCAGTATTTTCTTTCTGTCCTTTGTTTGTTTCACTTCACTCCTTTAAAAGTTTATTTCCGTTTTAACCTCAGCTACTGTGTCCTCCCAAGTCGGTGCCTCTTGACATGAATGTTGAAAAAAGCTCTCTCCAGCCATACCAAGATATTTCCTGTTTACATGTGCCTGGCGTCACCATGGAAGAAAGTGTGTCCAAGTGATTGACACGGTGTTTGGCTTTTTTTTTCATCCTTTTTTTTTTTTTTTTACCGAATTCAAGATGGAGTCATTTGTGGCTTTCAAGAATTTTCAGCTTGTCGCCTCAGAGCTTGATTGTGTTTGCGCAGACACTCGCGAAACTACCTTTTGACTTCACACGCAACAGAGGTTAATTCCATTTGGGGGAAAAAGCGGGATTCGTCAACCAGAAGCCGAGAGTGGAAAGTGAAAGAGGTGTGTGTAGCTCTATCAGACACGGTTCTACTGAAAGGATCTCAATTCTGGTCCCACATTTCCAAGTTCACCCTTAAACTCTATTAGAGAGTACACTGAGAGAGGCGCGTGCATAGAGAAACCCTCGGCTCGGCATAGAGAGCAGCCGTTTCTGCCTGCTCTCACTCTTTGGTCTTAATATCCTGTAATGGAGAAGGGGTCGGGAGAAACACCTGAGCACAATGTGTCCTGCTGCAGCAGAAAAGAAGGGAGAGGGAGAGAGGAAAGGAGAGGGCGAGCGAGAGAGGGCCGCTAACAAAGGAGGGATATTTTGTCCTCTGTCTCCAGGGGACATTTGAGCCAGGGATGCGCTTCACCGCATGCCCACCCGTGTCTCCCTCTTCCTGGGTCACTGGACACCTGCTCACTCCCCCGGAGGGAAGGAATGAAAGGAGAGAGAGAAAGACACACAAACACACGCACACTTACTTCAGTGTTCACGCTAGGGCAAAGAAAGATAAATTTCCGTTTAAAGCGTTATAATTTAAAATGTCATATCAGATTTCAAAGATTAATTTCTTTTTATTTTTTATGATATGTAAACATTATACAGTTGAATTTATAGTTATCTTTGCAAATGTGAACTGTCCCATTTTGTCTTCAGTATAATTCCTATAAAGTCAAGATAGTCCTAAATTCCTTCTAATGTGCTGATTTGGTGTTAAAGAAACATTTATTATTTTTATCAGTGTTAAAGATTTGTGGACAAATATGTTTGATAAGTTTAATTTATCCTTGCTGTATAAAATTTACTTAGTAAAAGAATAAAGTACACAAAGAAAAAAATATTCAAAGATGATCCCTTGGATTTACAAATTTTTTCACGTTAAGTGGTTGTAAACTATTTATTTTGGGCTGAAATTAAACAAACATTGCCATTACCAAATTCAATTTGTTTAAATTCAACATATAAATTGTTTGCAAAAATTGTGCA